GAGACAGACAAATGAAAAATAAAAATCGTCAATACAAACTTGAAGATATATTTAATTGAATCTGTACAATTTCAGAATTATTTATGGAATTCGCAAGGTGGTTCACCTTGCGCTGCATACAAAATTGCCTATTTCACCTTGCTTTTTCTGGTTAATGGCGATTTCACCAATCCCCCAAAATAGGCAAGTTTGGCAACAGTACTGTACTGTACAGTCTGCACTATAAGTATAGCCGCACCCTAAAATTTTGGCTTCACAAAAGATCTGCTAATACTGCAGCCACGCTAGTTGTACGTGCAGAAATGTAATAAACCAAAACGGCATTCCCCAAAAGGATTAAGGGCTGCTCGTTGCCGTTCACAAGAAAAACCAAAAAGTTGGAAAATTTGGTTGCACAATAAGTACATGTATAGACGCACTTTCAATTCGAAGCTTCTATTGGACATTTTTCTGCACTTTTTAGTCAATTATTAGCCTCCAAATTGGTCCACATGTTTATAATCATGACAAGCTATTACCATTAGCAATCTCAAAGTGAAAAAGCGACACTCAGGGATGCCAAGGGGGTCAAACATCACCGAGCAACAGAAGGGCCAGAAAATGGATTTTCTTGCTACATCGCCAAAGCAATCCAGCAAAGCGACATACTTGTACGTTCGTTTGTCCGAAGTATCGGCAAACCAGGGCCGCAAAAAAAGCATGGAAGACCCTCCAAGCTCAAGCGCCGTGACGTCCGACGAATCTTTCGACTCGCCACCCGCAAGAACATGTCGTGCAAGCAGATTTCGGCTGCACTAGAGGGTAAAGTAACACGAAATACTATACTTAACGTGTTAAAGACATCTAAATTCGCCAAGTACATCAAGCGCCGGTGCTGAACCCTCAATGTACTAGTAGTTTCGATTCATTATATCGATGCACAACACACAGACAAACTGTTTTACTGTAAATGTGCTCGAACTGTAAACGTGCTCGATCTGTATGTACTTTCGCACTTTCGCCACGCAAGTGACTAGTAGGTTGCGTGGCGAAAGTACTCACAGTTCGAGCACGTTTACAGTTCTTGACATCATGAACACAGATTCGTCAAGCTAAATAGCGATAAATCCCACGGGTGGACTAACGGTGGAGTTGCCCTTACTCTCGCGACAACATGATTCAGAGCAGTGCATATTTGTCTGTAGGATCTGTACTCCAAAGTGATATCAAGTACGCAGGGGCGAGTGAGCCTACAGTACTTCAACGCCCCTGTCTACATTCTTGCAATACCGTTAATCATCAAATGATTTACGTCGTGGGCGTGATATATATATCAACTACGTAGCGAGCTTAACTGCTTTCTACTTGTATCTAACTGACACTATATAATCTCGCGACATTAATATACTAGTACGCTTAGTGTACAGTACATCCTTGTCGTACTAACCTTGCATCATTAAAGTGCCCCCCAAATGTATGGAAGGGGTTATGTCCTCCTCCACACACCCCTCCAAGCATTCATACATGTAGTATAAACAGTATAAGCATAAGCTCACCACTCTACAATACCCATGCGTATACTGTAAGGAAAATTACATTTGTCAATACTAATGTTATTGTTTCTAGTATGAGAGGGACAAGATCATTGTGTTCATTGAAACGTACATTTGCTAAGAGTCGCAGCTACATGGAATTTCCATGAGCCAAGTTATACATGGCAGGCCATGTCGCTATGACAACGACAATTACATTATTGACAGTATGGTGATATAAGTAGACATCGTCGAGAATGATCTACAGTGCTATACAGTGCGCGCCAGGTGGATAAAGCCACCCTGTTTTTTTGTAATTGCTTTTGACGTATGTCCTTATTCGATTAGCAGACGTTTATGAACGAATTGATATGCCAATTACAAAAGGATTCCAACTCCACGGGCACAACTACTTCGAAAATGTAGTCAATATGAGAACTTTATGAAAAATCACTGCGCCAGGTGGTTAAAGCCACCTCAGAAAAATCAATGTATTTTCAACACAAATCGCTGTTATTGACCCAAATCAATTTATTACTACGTAGTAGTACTTTGTTTTACCTCCTTTAGCTACTACAACGTCAACACAACGGTCTTGCATCGATCGAATCAACTTGTCGAGATAAGTTTGACTCAAGCCAGACCATGCACGCTTGATGGCCTCGACGAGGTCATGCAGTGTCATAAATTGACGTCCGTTCGCATAAACCGAACGTGCTAGGACCCCCCACAAGTTTTCAATTGGATTTAGGTCGGGAGAAAGGGAAGGGTGGTCAAAAATGTCCACCCCATTCTCCGCAAACCAGGCCCTTGTGGTCTTCGCCCGATGGATTGACGCCCCATCTTGCATAAACGTAAATCTGGGGCCGTAGTGGCAATGACCAAAGGGTAGCAAATAGTTCTCCAATGTTTCGACGTAGTCGTCAGCCTTTTGAATGCCCTCCAAGAAGGCCAACTCTGACAAACCTTTCGACGAAAACGCGCCCCAGACCATGACGCCACCACCACCCTTTTGGCGCGTCAAAAAGGTGTCAGGCTCCTTCCGTAAGTCATGCCAATAGGACTGAAACTCATCCGGTCCATCGAGATTAAACTTCTTCTCGTCGGACCAGATGATTTCAGTCCAATTGGTTGACTCACGGAGGTGTCGCTTGGCATACTCCACCCGCGCGATCTTGTGCTTGGCTTGGAGGTTGGGCATGTGCTTTCGCTTCTCGTAGTTGAGAATTGGACTTTGTTGCAGGCGTCGTTGGCATGTCCGGAGTGAGGCGTCCAAATTCAGGGTGGTCTTGAGCAGTCGCGCGGACGATCCAACCTTGGAGGCTTCCCGGAGCAGAAGTCGGCACGCACTGCCAACGAAAATTCTCGGCTTCATGCCGTTGTATCTCGTGCCGTAGGCCTCTGGGTCGCGTAAATAGCATCTCACAACATCCTTCGACCTTCCAAGCTCGCCTGCGATGGCCTTGTTGGAGTATCCGGCCTTGCAGAAGGCCAAAATTGCGCCTTTTTCAGCAGGAGAAAGCTGAGCGTCTTTACCCATCCTATGGCATTCTTATTGTTCGTTGTCGGGGTGTATTTGTGTGTTATAGTGCTTACCATGCACGTGACAAAAGTCTGTTAGCTGTGCGTGGGGTGTAGTTGCTGCTTGGGGTCTGAATTGCATGTGGCTTTATTTCCCTGGTGCGGTCAAAAAACGTTCATGTTGCAGTCAACAACGCTCAACTCAACCAATTGACCTAAAATTCTATGTGAAAACTCCACCAATCATACTCGTTTCACTGGTGCATTTTGCGGAGCAGAACTCTTGATTGGCGGGATTTTTCTCTTGAAAAATAGGGTGGCTTTATCCACCTGGCGCGCACTGTAAGTTAAAGCACTGTTATAACCTATAACTGGTGGGAAAGCCAATTGTGAAAGGAAATATCGGCACCCCATTTGACCTGCGACGTCGTTAAGATCACCAATATACCGCAAGATGTTCCTTGTCAGTGATTACCAAGTCTCTACATTTCTGTCTGTAGCTAGGCGATATTCATGGATTTATGTTCTAGTATCGGCCTTCGCGGAGGAATGTCTTAATATTAGAGAGGTTTAGCAACTCGTTCCATTCCGCATCCATAGCTGCGCTCCGACATATGGTGACAAAGTCAGAGTCTACCTCTCAAACATAGTGATGGAAACTGTCAAACATACTGCTCAATCTCAATAATTGACCAATTGGATGGAATCAATTCCATTCTGTACATGTCCAAACGACTCGTGGTACCAATGTCGACGCCAACCATGGCCACACCAGTGAAGCGACGCAACTACACTGACTCATGCATCTGAGACAAGTCTCTCTCGAACTGTCGTTTTTGGGGAGCCGTGGCCTCATCATGGACAAGTCGACGGCTGTCGCGCAGAACCTTGTCGCGTCGGACGAGTTCACTCGCACCGACCTCGACGCCAAGAAGGCGAACAACCGATTCAATGTCACGGCAAGCACAATAACGAGTCTGAACGAGCATCGGAGGTCTCCGAGGAAGTTTCGAAGAAGGTCCTCCTGTTGGACGGCCATTTCGCTGCATTCGACGACTGCGTGATTCACATGAGTCGTCGTCCTTCGGTGGCGATGGTGAAATCGCAGCGTACCCAGAATTACTTACCGGGAGATGCAGGAACATGCCGTAAATTTGACATTCGATCCACTACCGTTAACACGTACTACTCTGGTCCGATATGTTTGCCCAATTTTTTTCTGATTGGCGGAATTCTTTCTAAAAAGTGCTATTGGAAGCAGCGGGTTGGTCCACAAGAAAGCGCAAGATCTTCACATTGATTGGCTAGTTTCTGTCCTTTCCGAATCGTTTTCCTCGAGAATTACAACGCTTCAAACTGAGCCCGTTAGGTCACGACATATAAATCCATCCGGGGAGCCACCACTACTCATTTTGCATTCCTCAAACATCGTCCCAAGCATAACTACCCCATCAAGTATGCCTGAGGTCCACGCAGAGCTCACAGCACGGTACAACTATGTCGTGAGGACCGAAAGGAACCTTAAGCCTACCGAGCGTCGCGCCGTGTACGAACAGCTTCTCGAACGAAGTATTGGAGGCAAGCTTCCTTACGGAGCTATCCAAGATGTTGCACGTTGGTATTACTGCCATTCCAGGACCATCGCACGCATTTGGAAGCAAGGACGGCTCTCTCAGAGCCTTTGCCATGGACTTGCTGACGTCGCAACAAAAATGACGGGTATTACCCCTTTAATTTAATATTCCATGTCTCAAATATCAACACATGTAATTATAGTGTTCTAATGGTTAACTCGTTTAGGGAATTGTGGGCGCAAGAAAACACGAACCACCGAGGAAATCAAGGCCGCTGTTCAGAGTGTCCCTCATTACCAGCGGTAGACCCTGCGTGCTTTGGCTGCGAATAACCAAATTCCAAAGACCACCCTCGTCCGCCACATGAAGGAGCAGAACAGCCTCAAGGCCCGGTTCAGCTACGTCAAGCCGATGCTGACCGACGAAAACACCTGCAAGACTGGACTTCGCCAGGAGCTTCCTTCGACCTTTGTCAGATGGGACCACTGTTTTCTCCATCATGCACGATGTTGTGCTTGTTGACGAAAAGTGGTTTTATCTGACAAGAGTCAAGAAGCAATTCTACGTGTACGACGACGAGGAAGTCGCAGCCCGGTCGGTGAAGTCAAAGCACTTTATCACCAAGGTCATGTTTCTTGCCGCTGTAGAACGGCCCCGCTACGACCACACAAGAAATACCTTCTTTGACGGCAAGATTGGCGTCTGGCCGTTCGTTGAAGTCGTTGCGGCCAAGCGAACAAGCAGGAACCGTCCCAAGGGCGTCCCCGTGACCATGCCGTGACGTTTACAAGTCGTTCGTGTTGGACAAGGTCGTTCCAGCAATTTGCGAACGATTCCCCGTCGGCGATCTGCGGCGAGGTGTACGAATCCAGCAGGACAATGCAAGTCCTCGCCGACATATCACAACGGCGTTGCTACGTAGCTCTGGGGTACAAAATGTCAGTGTGATCAACCATCCGCCGAACAGTCCGGACTTGTCTTAGATTTAGGGTTCTTTAACTCTATTCAAAGTCTAAGGCATCAAAAATGTACTTGAACCATCGAGGAATTAATTGATGCTGTCAAAGCCGCGTTCTTTGAGTTGCCAATGGACACTGTGTCAAAAACATTCATAACCTTGCAAAAAGTGATGCAAACGTCCATTGAAATGGTGGGAAGAAAAACTACACGCTTCCTCGCATGAATAAGAACGCTACCATTGCCGACTTAGCAACGTATAATGTTCAATGTGATGCATCCAGTCTTTAATGCGCACTACTTCAATTGGATCTTCGCCTTGGAGAAGAGTCTCAACAGGAGGAACTGGTGAATTCCCACCAGTAAGTGGACCTCGAAATATAATAAAAATTCATTAACCAGAAAAAGCAAGGTGAAATAGGCAATTTTGTATGCAGCGCAAGGTGAACCACCTTGCGAATTCCATAAATAATTCTGAAATTGTACAGATTCAATTAAATATATCTTCAAGTTTGTATTGATGATTTTTATTTTTCATGTGTCTGTCTCTTTTTGGAATTCGCAAGGCAGGTCACCTTGCGAATTCAAAATTGTCCAAATTGTCCAATCAGATGCCGTGAAATCACGAAATTCGCTGCGTAGATTTATCACACCCTGTTGCGATACATTTCTACTCCTGTGATGGCGGTTGATGCAAGGAGCATTGAGATAATTATGTAGGCTGTGTATGAGAGCAAGATCATGCGATGTGGTATCCCGGACTCGTTCAATTCGAACAGGTCTAGACTTCAGTACATCACCACTTGCCTGCTAAACCAATGAATGTGGTCATCCCTCATTCCACCATCAGTCCGTGTCGGTGCCGTACACCTCCCTACTGAAGTGGTCAAGTGGTTGCGCGGGCGGGTGGCGCAAAACGTCTTGGTGGCACCCATCGCAAGTGCTGAAGCCGTCACTTCAGCACTTGCGATGGGTTCCTACTGTACCAAGACGTCTTGCGCCAGGGCGTTGGCCCACCAGAGCCGTCACGGCATTGCGACCCAACCGAGGCCACAACATAATGTTAGCTTGTAAGGGGAGAACCACAGCATCACACAAAGCTCTACTAAATTCAAGTGTCCAAACAGTTCAAAATTGTAACCCCTTCTGCCAGTACTATAGCCAATCGTGTGTAAGAAGCAAGGTGTGATGTGTTCTGATTGGATATCAAAAAGGAGCAAGGTGACTCACCTTGCTAATTCCATTAACAAGTCATTAAATTTCTGTTGGTTGTTATGATATTTTAGAGTTCGATACAAAAGATAAGATGTTTTGGACATGCTCGGTATACTTAAATGAAGTCAAAACAAGCGGACAAAGATACCGGACCAGAGTAGTACAGGGATCTAAGGCCTATCGAAGTTGCACGGTAGTTATACCCAATCAAATAATTTCTTGTGATACGATGCTGTAATTGGTCAAATTTTTAATCTCCCGCCAAACTTGCAATTCAAAAAAATACTGACCCCACTTTGCGGGGCAATCAAAATGACACGCATTCACGTACCTCATCGCGTTCAAGCTCGAAGCTTTGAAACTCCTTGAGACCTTGTCCGACTACAAGGTAGCTGCGCTCCTTAACGTCGCTCACAGGACTCTCCGCAACTGGCAAAAGCAGCGCAACGAGCTACGAGCTCCTTGCCTACAAAGGCAACAAGAAGCGTCTTAAGGTGCGTCCAGGAGGCTCACCCGAACAGTTCCCGGACCCGCCAGGCCTAGTCCAATACATCAACGACTTGCGTGACGCTGAGCGTGCGCTGAAGACAATGCACATTATCAACTGGATCAAACGAAACCAACGAACGTGGCTGCTGGACTACCTGTCCACCAAAGCTGCAGGGTCCGGCTACAAGTCCCTTCTCCAACTTCTCCGCCGGTTTTGTCGACGCCACGGATTCTCCCGACAACGCCCAGCGAAGAGCATGAAGACACAGGGAGACCTGTCCGAGCTGCGCGACGAGTTTGCGCTGGAGTTCCACCGGTCGTACAGCGCCCACAGCAAGGAGTACGTACAACGTTGACGAAACGGGTTGCTATTACGAAATGCCTCCCCACTACATCTGGGCCGTGCGCGGTGGCAGCTCCAAGATCTCCGCGGGAGAGAAGCACTTCATGCGAATGACAGCGGTGCTCACAGCGCGTGTGGACGGTACCAAGCTGCCTATCATGTTCATCATGAAGGGACAGCCCGGCGGACGCATCGAAACAAACGAGGTGCCTACCTTCCCCGAAGGACACTTCTACGCCGTCCACGAGAAAGCCTGGATGGGCGCACGGGTGTGGAAGCAGTTCTTGCGGTCGGTGCTGCACGACGACATCGAAGAGTGCTCCGTCAACCTAGTCGACAACTTTGAGGCCCATGTGTCGGAGGAGTCGACCAAGATTGTGCAAGAAGAGCTGGAATCTCACCTGTGTGCCATGCCACCGAATGCGACGTCTGTGTGCCAGCCCTTGGACGTAGGTGTCATGGCGCCCTTCAAACGTCACCTACGTGAGTTGTGGCTGTATGAGGAGATGATGGACAGTGACGACGAGGATCCCGACTCACTGACTGCAAAGCAGAAGCGCCTAGCCATGATCAAGCGTGCGATTGCGGCGTGGGATTTGGTGACACCCGAAATCGTCCGAGGCAGCTTCGAGAAAGCGCTGGCTTGTGGGCCAACGCCTGGAGAATAAGGGATTAAAAAAATGCAGGACAATGTTTTTCATTATTATATATGTTTTGTATGATTTTTTTTATTTGTGCTTGAATTTTTTTATTTCTTGAGAAAAAGTTTGACACTGCCCGGGAATTGAATCCGGGTCCCTTCCTCTATCCTTTGATGCCGTCACACTTAAGCATTGCGCCACCGCGTCAAACGCTTTCGCTTACACTCGAAGCATTGTATCAATCAAGTCGACTTTTTTCATTGTAACGCAAGAACTAATATCCTTCAGAAAACTTGGCCTGTGGCATTCAACTTGCTTGTAGATTAGTGGCTCCTTGATTGTCTAATAAAATGACCTCCAAAATATAAATCCGGACTCAACTCGAGCCAATAAAAATGGGCATCACGTCTCCGATTGGCAGGAAAGGCTTGCGTACTTTGAAGTAAGGCAGCCAACCACCATCAAGTATTTGCATTCCACCCGAAGAAAAGTAGGCCTTAAGTTCCGTAGATCCCTGTAAACGGTCATTGCCGTGATGTTCACAGAATTGCTGACTCCTTTCGTCCCTTTCCCAAATCTCTCGTTTGACAAACTGATGATTCTGCGCTACTTGAAGGGTTAAAAAGGGTATTTGCCTCACCACCTGTCGGATAGGATGTGAAATTTAATTCCTGATCATACATTTACCTATATATTTATAGAAATTTACAATCCGTTCGCTACCCGTTCTATATCAGAAAGAAAACGTTTCATCCCCGCATGTGCACATACTGTATGCAAGAAAAATTCGACACATGACACATACGCGCATGAGCAAAGTGCGGAACTTTGGTGGGTGAATACATAGGCTAGGAATGACGACGAGGGATGGGAGGCATACCAATTTGTAAAAACTACAAATTTGTCCTCCA